ATACCCAATAAATCTCGGGCTATGATGTTAACGTGGGTTAATATTATTTCATAGGCATAGGCCGATGAATGAAATAAGTCCAACAACCAAGTCCATGAGCTACACCCGGCCCAATTGTATTCCTTATGGATGGTTTGAATCTTGGCCCGTTTACCCCTTTAATGGCCTAACATAAAGCCTAACCCTAGAGTATATATTTGGTTATAACCCTAGCCACTTTGATATGATGATTGTGTGATTTTGAGAGAAGAAACAAGAGAATCCCGGCTGCCCCCTTTTGTGTAAGAAAAAAGGTGTCCAGAAGTGTCCAGAATGCTGGTATAACGTGTGCAATTGGTGGTTCTTTCATAGTATACCTTTGTAGTGTCTTCTCTTAGCCTTTGTGGCGATAAATCATCATCATTTCTTGTCCTACGTGGGTAAGATTGAATAGCAACCAAGGTGAATCAATTGGTTGTGGTTTGGAGCCGTTTGGATTGGTTGTTGGTAGAGAAAGGTTCGTTGGACTGAGCCTGGAAAACCACCGTTTGAAGATCCTTTTGAGAGAGCTTCCGCAACACCTTTATTTTGATGTGATCTTTATTCAAAAGGAATGTACAATGCAGTGCAATAAATAAGATCGCAACAGGGAAACAACACACTTCACATAAATTGTTCTATTCAGTGTCCACAAAATCAGCCCGCATTCTTAAAATTGTAGTCTCAAATCTATACAACACCTACATTGTTCACACTACATGATTACATCGATATTTTTACGCAGTTCAGAAATTAGAAAATACGTGCAACTGAAAATATGTTCGAAAAATAATGGAGTTACTACAACATTGCATTGAAGTGAATCCTTAATCTATTACATCGCATCTAAGTCTCGATGCCTTAATGTACCACAACTACTAGTGCCGATTACATGAGCATTAATTTTGAAAACTAGAACATACATCTTTATTCGATTACATAGTTGGAAGACATTTATGAAACTCTTCCCTTTCCTTTCCCATTGTGCTCGATAGCTCATTTTCCCTTACGAATCGTTAAGTTGATGGATATCTCCAATTGTTCTTCCTTAAACTGGACGGTGTCTTCAACGTAGATAACAAATCTTCAAGCGGATCTTTCGTCTTTAATTTTACGATGGACTCACCATCACATTGCAAAGGTGTTTCTTGCAACGATGGTAGATCATTGTTCCACTTAAAATAACCACAGTCTCTTGTACAATATAAGAATAAACGACCTATGTTTTTGTCTTCTTTTCTACCTCCATACATTTCATAAAGGCCAATCCACATTCTCGGCATCGTGTCTTTGTTGGGCAATCCGGCAATATGTGCCCAGGCATCCTACAGCTATAACAAATACCCATATTTCTCCCTTCCATTTTAAAGTAATATGTGCAGTTAACAGAGAAATTCAAAGAAATTTACCCCTGTTTCTAGCTAAGACAAGTAATTAAGCATAAATCACATTTAATTCAGATTAGCATCCTGTTTCATATAGCATTTCCTAATTTACATTTGATAGAAACCAGCCTTTTAAAATCAAAAGTCCTTTATTTGTACACAAATTACATGAAAACCTGGTATCAATTCAAAGGAAGTAGTGTTGATGTGCACAATAGCGATTGCCAATTTCCCCTTTCAACAAGCAGAATGAAATGGATGCTTCTAATGGATTTGGGGTTAGGGCTTTTTCATGGGTTAGGGTGAAATCACTATGCAAAAATGAAATGGATTTCGGGTTTGGGTTTGTCGCGGCGTGACTTTGGGATTTCCAATTCGAAGGGAAATGAACAACGTTAAAACTGAATATTCGAGGATAGGGCTTGAGTTTTCCCAGGCCTAACATAAAGCCTAACCCTAGAGTATATATTTGGTTATAACCCTAGCCACTTTGATATGATGATTGTGTGATTTTGAGAGAAGAAACAAGAGAATCCTGGCTACCCCCTTTTGTGTAAGAAAAAAGGTGTCTAGAAGTGTCCAGAATGTTGGTATAACGTGTGCAATTGGTGGTTCTTTCATAGTATACCTTTGTAGTGTCTTCTCTTAGCCTTTGTGGCGATAAATCATCATCATTTCTTGTCCTACGTGGGTAAGATTGAATAGCAACCAAGGTGAATCAATTGGTTGTGGTTTGGAGCCGTTTGGATTGGTTGTTGGTAGAGAAAGGTTCGTTGGACTGAGCCTGGAAAACCACCGTTTGAAGATCCTTTTGAGAGAGCTTCCGCAACACCTTTATTTTGATGTGATCTTTATTCAAAAGGAATGTACAATGCAGTGCAATAAATAAGATCGCAACAGGGAAACAACACACTTCACATAAATTGTTCTATTCAGTGTCCACAAAATCAGCCCGCATTTTTAAAATTGTAGTCTCAAATCTATGCAACACCTACATTGTTCACACTACATGATTACATCGATATTTTTACGTAGTTCAGAAATTAGAAAATATGTGCAACTGAAAATATGTTCGAAAAATAATGGAGTTACTACAACATTGCATTGAAGTCAATCCTTAATCTATTACATCGCATCTAAGTCTCGATGCCTTAATGTACCACAACTACTAGTGCCGATTACATGAGCATTAATTTTGAAAACTAGAACATACATCTTTATTCGATTACATAGTTGGAAGACATTTATGAAACTCTTCCCTTTCCTTTCCCATTGTGCTCGATAGCTCATTTTCCCTTACGAATCGTTATGTTGATGGATATCTCCAATTGTTCTTCCTTAAACTGGACGGTGTCTTCAACGTAGATAACAAATCTTCAAGCGGATCTTTCGTCTTTAATTTTACAATGGACTCACCATCAAATTGCAAAGGTGTTTCTTGCAACGATGATAGATCATTGTTCCACTTAAAATAACCACAGTCTCTTGTACAATATAAGAATAAACGACCTATGTTTTTGTCTTCTTTTCTACCTCCATACATTTCATAAAGGCCAATCCACATTCTCGGCATCGTGTCTTTGTTGGGCAATCCGGCAATATGTGCCCAGGCATCCTACAGCTATAACAAATACCCATATTTCTCCCTTCCATTTTAAAGTAATATGTGCAGTTAACAGAGAAATTCAAAGAAATTTACCCCTGTTTCTAGCTAAGACAAGTAATTAAGCATAAATCACATTTAATTCAGATTAGCATCCTGTTTCATATAGCATTTCCTAATTTACATTTGATAGAAACCAGCCTTTTAAAATCAAAAGTCCTTTATTTGTACACAAATTACATGAAAACCTGGTATCAATTCAAAGGAAGTAGTGTTGATGTGCACAATAGCGATTGCCAATTTCCCCTTTCAACAAGCAGAATGAAATGGATGCTTCTAATGGATTTGGGGTTAGGGCTTTTTCATGGGTTAGGGTGAAATCACTATGCAAAAATGAAATGGATTTCGGGTTTGGGTTTGTCGCGGCGTGAGTTTGGGATTTCCAATTCGAAGGGAAATGAACAACGTTAAAACTGAATATTCGAGGATGGGGCTTGAGTTTTCCCATTTTCTCTCAAGGGAAAGAGTTATGATTTCATTTCATTTCTTTCCAAGGAAACATTCTTTTAATAAGGCTGTGTTTGAATGACTTGTCATCCACGTGTGCAAGAGGTTGCCATTTTAACACGACAAATCAGCTTTCCGTCTTCAACATGGACATGTTCGCGGACGGAATCCATCCGATGGCCATTTCAGTGAAACGGAGATAAGTTCAATTGCTATTAGAAAGCATCGTAAACTTTAACGGGTAGTTCATGACGATGGGTAGAGTACAGTGGCCAATGTAACAATTAACTCCACAATATTCTACTCTAAGAATTATCCTCAGATCAAGGTAAAATTAGGGAAGGTACTCTTAAAAATCTCAATAATCTTTCATTGAAATGCCATTTCTGGTCGAAAAGGAAATTTCATTTTTCTTCCTTCAAATAAAAATCTCACCTAAAAAATATTCAAAAACCTCAAAAAAGGGCAAAATCGCAACAAAATTATGTCAAGAAAATTCCAATGTTCGCATGAAAAAGTAATTATTATTTTTTTAAGTCAACATTGCTGTGGTGTTGTCCCAATCACTAATAAGAAGACATTGTTGATCGTAAATGTTATGAATATTGATGGTTTCGATTGAAAATCTAAATATATTGGTAATTGAGACGATATCTTTGGTGGTCATGGCACACCTTTCTCAACTATTATCGAGGTAATATTATAAGTGATGTTGTCAAGAATTATAGATGATACTTCAATCACGATCATCAATATCAGTCACAAAATTTTGGTGGTTTTTTTATATTATTATATATTTTTAAAGATATTAACATATTAGTTAAATTATCTTTTTGTTCTTTCTTTATAATATTACTGACTTATAAGTTATATTTATATCTTTATTTTGTTGTGGCAAAATTTTCTTTAATTTTTATATAAATTATATTTATTAATTGATTTTCTTTAGTATTTAATTCCACTCCAACTTGACCCTTTACCTTTCCTCAAATTTTATGTATTTTATACTTATTTATTGATTTTCATTAGCATTGAAATCCATTCCAATTTGACCCTTTACCTTCCTCAGACTGATGTCCAAATCAATTTTTAAAACATTGGTCTAATAGCGCAACTTAAGCATCGAATTAGAGGATCTACTTTGGTGACCAAAATCCCTTGCTAATTATTGTTTTGAATAGTTTTCAACAATGTCGATTATATGTAATTGCCATTAATTAATAGACCGCTTTAAAAACAAATAATAATAATAATAATAATAATAATAATAATAATAATAATAATAATAATAATAATAAATTTAAAATTTAAAATTTAAAATTTAAAATGTCATATCACTTGCATATGCCATCTAATTTGGTGATATATCACCCGTGGTGCTACACAAAATTATTCATTTCAAAATCACCCTCTTGATTGAAGCCACCCCAACAAATTTCAAAGAACTAACATTTTGTTTTTCCTAAGTAAATAAATTAAAAAGAAAAGGTAAAATTCTTTCATATGTTTAGACTCGTACTCTTTCTATTCCTGGGCGAAAGGATTTCTCTGTTTCGTGAAGCACTGTATAATAATGCAATGGCACGTATAATTCCCACCTAATAAGAGAGATTCTGAGTTGAATTCCTTCAATTTTAAACATGAAAGCTACGTTACAACTTCTTCAGCGAAAAATATGCAGAAGAAAAAATATTTGGATATCTGATTTCTTTATTTGGTCCCTTCACACATGCTTAGATCACATGTTATGTTTAACATCTCCCCACTTCTTCACATGCATACTTGCCTTCTTAGCCTGCAATAGTACAAAATAAAGCTGATGTGATGAAATGGCCAAACCATGTACCTACGTTTTTTAATTAATTAAAAGTTAAGATAAAATGACTATAAGAAGAGTAATGCTATGCATAGTCAATAATTGCAGTAATCATTCTTATATAGCAGCTTGTTATTAAAAGCATTATAATGATTGTTATTTGAGGCAACAAAATTAAAGCATCAAATAATAAGCAGTCATATAAGATAATTACTACAGTCGTTGATTATGAATATCATTATTCTAATAAGAATTAAAAGAAATTGCCTCAGTAAAAATTATAAAAAGCAAGAAAATAAATAAATAATATCATATAATAGTTTTTCTCACCTCTTTTTCCCAATCGCAACGAATTGTAATGATGGCCAATATCAAAGTTTGAATTGCAGTTCCACCAAAAATCATCCCGGCCCAGATACCCTAAACGTTTAAAAATTATCATTTTAAGTCCAAACTAGGTACATATAACACGACTAATATAATTAAAACATGTTCACTATCTCGTAGTGCACAAGACTGAGAAGGATATAAACCATGTACTTTAGTCCAACGTACCAAACATATTGTAAGATAAGTTAAACACACGTACCATAACTCCTTGATGAAAAACCCATCCCATTAAACATCCAAGTGGGAGTCCGAGTAAATAGTAGCAACCTAAGTTTATATATGCAACATATGACTGCCATCCAGATCCAACAGCAACCCCTGCAAGAATAAAGACAGCTCGATCACTATCATTAATAAGAAAACTTTTAAGCTTTTACATTGGAACTTGTTTAGAAACATCATAATAAAAAGGCCAAAACAAATAAGTTACCTGAAAGAATAGGCTGAACACTGTTGAGGAGAACGGTGAAGGCTAAGAGGATAGAGAGTTTGCTTACAGCTTTAAGAACAGTATCACTGGATGTGAATATGAGGGCAAGTTCATTGTGGAAAAACATTATGAGGATCCAGAAGAATAGACCAATTATTATGGACTGTGTCACGGACACTATAGCAGCAAATTTGGCTCCTTTACCATTTCCTGCTCCCAGTTCATTTGCCACCCTTACTCTATATACATAAAGAAAAATAATAATAATAATAATAATAATAATAATAATAATAATAATAATAATAATAATAATAATAATAATAATAATAACAACGAACTAGTCAACATAATTATGCACTGTTTGGCAAATTTATAAATTGGAATAGTAAGAGAAATAATCATGAGTTCCACAATATGTCGGATAATAATCTGTGATAATTATGAATGTACGGTTGAAAATAATGTTTTGACTTTTTATTTATAAATTGCATCCAAAGGGTGGCTTAAAGCTTGAATATAAGGACTTTAAGTTATATACTATAAATGAAGAAGAAAATGAATGTGATAGTAGAATATATTTATTTATAAATTTGAATATTGTCCTTAGTGTGCCCTTAATTAGATGCTTGATATGTATACAATTTTATTGAATGAGTGATACATGATCTTTTTGTCTATTATGATAACATGTTAAACTTCACAAATTAAAAAACATAAGCTATTTAAAAATCATAATTTCCTTTTCAATATATATTGTTAATTTTGTCGATCTCACAAGCTTTGTCTCTAAAAAACTATATCAATTGAACTCATTCTAGATGATGAGATTTGCCGATTGAGATGACACGAGAATAATTCTTAGGGGTTGTCGACAAATTTTTAACATATTTCCAATATCAAATTTTTATTCAATCATGCGATTTGTACAATTTATTTTTATTTTTTTTACAATTTTGATTGCCAACATCATATTCATTTATTTTAAAAATTATTTTTTTAATCACTGGTCCAAATTTTGACAACTTGAACTGTACAAATAAATTTACTCGTTTTTATTGTCTACCTTCCGACACCCTTTCTGACAATTATAGTACCATAATTTTTGTGGATGACGATACCCAATTTTGCCCCTCACATACTATTCATATAGAGTGGCAATAAGGGCTCAATTGTCGTTTTGGAAATGTTAAAGGCATGCACAGCTTAAAAATTGGCAAACAAGCAGCTTTAAATCAAACGTGATGGGGCCGTGTGGTTTGACACAAAAATCAATTTTTTCGCAGCAAAATTTTTTCCAGACAGGATTGGGTTACTTATGACTAAGCAGGGATGCAGACAGAGTAATCCAAAGGGGTAAATGACAATGGAGAAATGACAAAGTAGCAGACTAAACAATTTCTAATATAAGGTATTGGTCAACAAAGTTTTAATAAAAAAATATTATCAAATTGGGATAAAAGTTGAAAAAAAATTGTGTGGTTAAAAAATAATTGGATAATCATTCATAAACTTACCAATCCCACAAATTTATTTCTCCCATCAAATTATGCCTTCTAATTATATATATGACCTTCCCTCCTCTACACATGCACAGCTTATACAAAAATGGTTTTCATCATGAAGAAAATAGTAACAAGCTATTTAACAACATATATGTGTGTGTGTGTGCACGGACATGTCGCTCCGGTGTATAGTCCTTCACAATAGGGGACCCATGTCCAATAAAAAAATTGCAAGCACCCTATTATGAAGGGGTTTGTCAACTCCGATGTACACATAGTATAACCCAAAATATATATCATAATTTAAAATGAAATATCAACTAATCCATGATTAGCTCCAAATGATGGTTCAATAATGGATCGATAGTGATGTTTTCGGTCGCTATAAGCCCTATTTTTGAATAATATATAAACTCGTGAAGACCTTGACTTGTAACATTGTAAATCTATGTTGTTTTATTTGGGCAATGCTAGGTGTACAGTTAGGGGTACAAAACCCCTATCGACACCTCATAATAGGAAGTGAGTTATTTTTAGTCTATTATTTATTTGCGTGGGGCTTCACGTCACTATGAGTTTCGGGTAGGGTTCTATGAACCCAGCTTCTGTACAAATGAAAAAATTGGCTTTATTTTAGATAACAAAGACGTGTAAAATTTGATATCTAGGATCAGCCTCATATTTCAATAAAAAAAAAAAGAAGTGGGAGTAATCCATTCAAGTGGCACTTCAAGATTGGGCTTCGAAAGTGCCATTTAATTTGGACTCAAAGAGACAGACAATTCATGAAAATGATTTGCACGATTCATAAATGATAAGAAGAGAAGTACGTAAAGTGAAATAGAAGTATTTACCCAGTTCCAGCGAAGAAGCCAAGTGGGATCATCATTTCCCATCCATTAATGTTCATACTGCAATAATCGACAAAATAAACATCATCATGCATCGTGTTCTGCTATTTATTTTTATTTTTTATTTTTTTATTTTTTTAACTTCTTCAATATCAGTATGCCCAAAACCAGAAATGGCATATCATCTTTAGCAATTGTCGGAATCATGACGTGCAAACTGTGCAAGCCTTAACAAGTGAAAGCTACCAATAAAAGGACAATAGTTTAAAAATAAAGAGTTTGTAGCCATTTTGAAGACTAGATAACGTGTATCATGCCAGCTTTCAAATACCAAGTCAATTTTTTAAATTAAAAAGAGAATTAAAAGTGAAATTTTCTACTTCAACTAAAATTTAATCTACCCACAAGTAATTCATTTTTTAATCAAAAGTTTAAGCCGTGGTTGGTTTGCCGTTTTCGGCCCATTTTTCGTTTTTCATTTTCGAAAACGAGTTAAAATTTATAACTAAAAATGGAAAACGACTTTTTATCGTTTTTAGCGTTTTCAGTTATAAATGTTGAAAACGCTCAAAACGTGAAAACGGGCAGTTTTCGAGAAAAATTAAAAATCGTTTTGAAAATGAAAATGAAAAATGAAAATACAAATCAACCACTACCTTATTTTTTCGACTTTGGTCAGCTGATTACAAGTTGAATTTATTTTTCTATCAAAATTTTTTTATGTAAAGTTGACTTAAATAATTTGATGAGATATGAATTAAGAACACGTTGGTAGGATTTTCTGATTGGTTGACAATGTGGAAATGAAAAGGACAATTCAAATTCCCAAAAAATTGCTTACCATACAGATAGAGCATCTACAGCAATTTTAGCATTCTCCAGATTTCCGGTCATCACTATGAGTATCCTGTAGTACCAGTTCTCCAGACTGTTCCATTTCAAATAAAAAATGAAAAAAGAAAAAAGAATTGAATTGAATCAGTCCATAAACATATATATAGAAACAAGTTCAACATATTTGGTCGTGTTTAAATTTTTAATAAGTTGCTAAATCGAAATAGATTACCAAAGCATGACACCAGAAGAAGCCGACAGTTTAAGGAACTCCCAGAGGCCGGAAAATGCTTCGCCGGAGAAACCGGTCCATGTAAGAGGACAGCCACCACAAACGGTATAAAGAAACAGACCCAAAACAATAACCCACCAAGAGAAATTCAAGATGAGAGCAGTGCCAACAATTCCCAATTTGAAGTTGTACACAATCAACCAGTTTAACAAAACATGCACCACAAAAGCAATCAAATTCACCCAAGCAATAACTTGGTTCTTTATCTGACTCTGCAAGAATCTTTGTAGAGGGAACTGAAGTGCAAAGCTGAAGTGTAAAGGAATAAAACACAAAACCACCAACCCACAAAGCTCCGCCACGTCCGCAGGCTGTCCTAGTAATTTCAGAATTGGGGTTGCAAAGATGAATATCGGAAAAGTCACAACGCAACACAAGAAAAGAACAATCCAAGAACGTTGTAAATACACTCCCAACATGTAGTACTTCTTTGCCCCATATGCCTGGCCACATAGTGTTTCCAAAGCACTTGCCATTCCCAACTAAAAAAAAAAATTCATCCACAAAGTAAAATTCAGCAAAAATCTGATAATAAAATAAGAATAGCAACTTAAACTGTTAGACGAAATAGTTTAAAGTGTACCAAGAGACCGAAGTCGAAGCCAAGAACGACATTACTAGCAATGGCCATGGCGGCGAGCTCAAGTTCACCGAGGTGGCCGGCGAAGGCTTGCGTGATGACGAACATGGAGTAGGATGCGATCCGGCTGAAGATTGCCGGGCCGACGACTTTCCAAAGTTTCTTTGATTCAATCCAAACCTTTAGACAAAGAGTTTGATCTTCATCATCTTCAATACCTTCCTTTGTCTGGATTGATGAGTAATCTAATAAAGGCGCGGTTATTTCCTCCGTTTCTCTTCTATCTGACATTTTTTTACCTTCTGTGTGTGTGTGTGTGTGTGTGTGTGTGTGTAGAGAGACACAGAAATCCAAAGGCTGCAGAAATCTGATCGTCAAGAGCTGTACTTCTATATATAACCACCCAAATGTAAAAATAACTTAACAAATTAATATAATCATATATTTTATTATGGCAATTATTTTCACAGATGTTCCAAATCCAGTCGTTTCATGCTGTGTGTGGGAAAATTTATGGCAATTAATGTAACATAACTTTAGAGCTGAGAAGCGAAATGTGACACGTAAAAGTTTAGTATTATTATTGTCATTTCTTTGGCACCGATAAGACCATTGGTGGCCAGCAGTATCCTGTAGTAATATGACATGGATTTATTATTAAAAGGAAAAGATGGCGAATGAATCTGATCAATGAAAATGACAGATGACTTGTCTATTTTTAAAGGTTGAATCCCAACCTTAAAGATCCTCCATCGACCCGTCGTTGAAGTATCGTGAAAGAGGTTAATCGCGGAATGTGCCCCAACAGGCCAGAGAACGAAAGCTGCCTGTACATTGGTGCTCACCAAGAATTTCAATCCATGTTTCAATAATCAAACTCTCAAACTGTGGCTACCAGCAAAACTGAGTATACCTCACCCTCGTCCTTTGCACCACTGGAATATGCCCGAGGGACGATGACTTGTCTATTTTTGTTTCATTCATGTAATTACCAAATTTTTACATACTATTTACATACTTCCATACATTTTTTATTTTTTACTTTTGTAATTGTACGAACCTCGATAATTTAATATTTCATAAATTAATAATTCTTGTTTATTAGTTTCAATTTGGGGGTAATGTGCTTATTTAATAATTTGTTAAATTCATAAATAATACATTTCAAAAAATTCTTAAAGATCACATATAAATAAATAGTTTCCTAATGTATAGTGCTTATGATTCAACTATGAAACCTTCTTGAAATATGACTCAAGCATTGCTTATTTCTTCCTGAATTTGATGTCACGATGCATCTCATCTTAATTTTTCTTAACATGGTAATAAGTTCAAATGTGAATTTCTCATACTACAATAAGAAATTATTCAAATGTCATCCTCACTTTGAGATCTTCTATCTGCGAAATGAGCTTCATAGTAGACTATCATTTTTCATATGATGGTCTCAATTATTTGCTTGTTAGTCAACATTTTTTAAGTCATTTCATTTTCTTCATGGAAGTTCAAGAGGTTATCAACATCCATTCCGTCCCAATAATTCAACTATTTGATTACATTTTGCAAATCGGATATCCACCACCACACACTGCCGATCCACGAGGTAGAGGTTTCAAAGGTACAAATATTAATTATCAAAATTTGAGAAGAAACTGTATAGATTTAGTAAAATATTATTATCAATCTTAATTACTCAAGAATTTTCTAGAAAATTAATTGGTCTCGAATTTAAATTCAACGTGCACATCTGTATTTTTGGACAACAAGCGGAATACATTTACTAAAGGCCAAAAAGGAAAGGCTATTTCAAATTTATAAACTAGATTTGTGATTGATACCAAGAGTCGAAAATTGCGAAAAAATTGAAATATAATTAAAGTAATTTAACACTAATTCCGAACAACAAATACAATAAGTAATAAACAAGCATGCTAGTGAATCTTCAAATTTACTCAAGAGTGCCAAACACGTAATAGTTTAATGTAATATAATTACTATCAATTTATACACTATTCATTTTTATATATTTACAGATTATAAATTATTTATATAAATTCTTTCGAATGGAGGCTAAGATCGATACAACAATGTTTTTTTCTTAATTATTAATGCCAAGGAAAAATAATAATTGCTAGAAGTCATGGCCGACATTAAGGACCAACGACTATTCCTAAATTGATTACCTAGGGTTTGATTCATAGTACATTTCTATTGACCCTGATTTTTCCTACTCGTGTCGCGCGAGATTGAATCCAAAGCGTCTACTCATATACTTGATCCAACTTAAAATGTACAACGGTGCAATAATTCGACTATTTAATCGTGTAACATTTCAATCGTTATTTAGGGTGTGTTTGAATCACATTTTATGAAAAATAAGTTTGGTAATAAGGATTTTTGGAGGATGTAAGGGTAAAAGTAAGAATAAATTTTAAATTTACGTGTAAAACTATTTTTCGGGAAAAAAAGTGTATTTAAAAGAAAAAAAGGGAATTTGTAACAAATGGGGGTTCAAAAATGGGCTTACATCGGTTGACTGAAAATTTCTCATATCTGGAGAAAAGCGCAGGTTAAAAACATCACAATTTGCCGCGGATTTATGTAAGATTTCGTTTCACTTTATGCTTTGAACTTTTTTCACAAATAGTCCACCTAGCCCCTAGAGCCCTATTCAACAAAATCTTTCTTTTTCTCTAATTCATTTTAATTATATATTATTTCAATAAAATAATTTATACACAAATCAAAATTTTTTCTTTACTTTTTAATCACATTCTTCAAAAAAAAAAAATTAAAAAAATTACTATTATTAAATTTATTTTCCAAAAAATAGATCTCAAACAGATCTATAGTTTCGTTTCTTGTATTTGATCTTCCTTCATTTATCACATCACCCAATCCATCATCATACAGTCAGCATTTTCTCTGGATGAAAATATTATCTTTATCCTATAAAAAAACAGGATTGAATGATTGATTTCCCCATTTCATCCATCCCATATTATGTCCTTTTCTTTTTCGAAAGTATAGTTGATTTTTTATTTTCTAATATGTCCTATTTAATGTACATTATTATTTATAGATATAAACTTCTCTTATTTAAATCATTATGTAGCCCCTATTTGACAATCATTTTACAGAACTATTTTTTCTTAAACTCATTTTCAATACACATTTTTATAATAAAATATTTTGTCCAAAATTCAAAACTTCTCCTACTTTTTAATCACATATTCTTTAAAAAAAGTACTATTTCAAAATTTATTCTTTCCAAAAAACTCTTTTTACTAGTTATCAAATGAGAGCTTAGCTCCCGTTTTGTGGAAATGAAAATGGGTGGAATAATGTTTTTTTGAAAAATGAGGAAAAAATTTTGAATTACGTGTAATGTTATTTTATGAAAAATTATGTGATTGAAAATGTGAAAAAGAAAAATGAAATGTAATAGAATGAAAATTAATTGATACCAAACAGAGTTTAAAATGTAGGAGTACAAGAGAAAAATGGAAGAAAATTTTATATTTTTAATTATGTTAATTATATTTCTTTATTTGTATGAAAATAAAAATATATCTGTTTAGATGAAGTAACATAAATTTGAAAGTAATTTGAAAGGTGTACGTTTACTTGGAATTCCACACAATTTGATGATCTTAGAATTCAATTAAAGTGTGTTTTCCAACAATTATGCAAATCAGCGTTATGGTTCCTAGTGAAATGAATGTGTGAGAGACCCTTCTAATTATTTCTTTGGCCACTTGATCCAACTTAAAATGTACAACGGTGCAATAATTCGACTATTTAATCGTGTAACATTTCAATCGTTATTTAGGGTGTGTTTGAATCACATTTTATGAAAAATAAGTTTGGTAATAAGGATTTTTGGAGGATGTAAGGATAAAAGTAAGAATAAATTTTAAATTTACGTGTAAAATTATTTTTCGGGAAAAAAAGTGTATTTAAAAGAAAAAAAGGGAATTTGTAACAAATGGGGGTTCAAAAATGGGCTTACATCGGTTGACTGAAAATTTCTCATATCTGGAGAAAAGCGCAGGTTAAAAACATCACAATTTGCCGCGGATTTATGTAAGATTTCGTTTCACTTTATGCTTTGAACTTTTTTCACAAATAGTCCACCTAGCCCCTAGAGCCCTATTCAACAAAATCTTTCTTTTTCTCGAATTCATTTTAATTATATATTATTTCAATAAAATAATTTATACACAAATCAAAATTTTTTCTTTACTTTTTAATCACATTCTTCAAAAAAAAAAAATTAAAAAAATTTACTATTATTAAATTTATTTTCCAAAAAATAGATCTCAAACAGATCTATAGTTTCGTTTCTTGTATTTGATCTTCCTTCATTTATCACATCACCCAATCCATCATCATACAGTCAGCATTTTCTCTGGATGAAAATATTATCTTTATCCTATAAAAAAACAGGATTGAATGATTGATTTCCCCATTTCATCCATCCCATATTATGTCCTTTTCTTTTTCGAAAGTATAGTTGATTTTTTATTTTCTAATATGTCCTATTTAATGTACATTATTATTTATAGATATAAACTTCTCTTATTTAAATCATTATGTAGCCCCTATTTGACAATCATTTTACAGAACTATTTTTTCTTAAACTCATTTTCAATACACATTTTTATAATAAAATATTTTGTCCAAAATTCAAAACTTCTCCTACTTTTTAATCACATATTCTTTAAAAAAAGTACTATTTCAAAATTTATTCTTTCCAAAAAACTCTTTTTACTAGTTATCAAATGAGAGCTTAGCTCCCGTTTTGTAGAAATGAAAATGGGTGGAATAATTTATTTTTTTTTTGAAAAATGAGGAAAAAATTTCGAATTACGTGTAATATTATTTTATGAAAAATTATGTGATTGAAAATGTGAAAAAGAAAAATGAAATGTAATAGAATGAAAATTAATTGGGACCAAACAGAGTTTAAAATGTAGGAGTACATGAGAAAAATGGAAGAAAATTTTATATTTTTAATTATGTTAATTATATTTCTTTATTTGTATGAAAATAAAAATATATCTGTTTAGATGAAGTAACATAAATTTTAAAGTAATTTGAAAAGTGTACGTTTACTTGGAATTCCACACAATTTGATGATCTTAGAATTCAATTAAAGTGTGTTTTCCAACAATTATGCAAATCAGCGTTATGGTTCCTAGTGAAATGAATGTGTGAGAGACCCTTCTAATTATTTCTTTGGCTACAAGAATCTCTGTCTCAATCTTACGTAAGCAATTGCGACAACAATTTTGTCACGACATTTCTTGCACACCTCAGAAGAAATGTTCGTATATGACATGCCACCTGCACTTGATTCTATGTTCAGAACATGTAATTACTCGGAAAGGAGCCGATAAATATATTAATATTTTCATAAATAGATTTTAGTGGAATTTCATAAAA